ATTTATATTCTAGGTGGGAGGCAGATCCCCAGAGGAATATATAAATTTAGCGCCTTTTTATATCCAAGTGGACAAAAAAAACCCTGCCATAAATCCATAATCATTTCAGCTTAATGGCACTGTGGGTCAGGTTGCGGATTGATTCCCAATTGCTTTTCCAGACCCCAATCATGCTTATTACACCCCCTCAATGTCTTCCATTTATAAAGACCCTGAGTTAATGCAGGTTTTTTTTTTTTTTTTTTTTTACGTAAGAGAAATTCCTGGGTCCTTTTATGTTTACGTGGGAAAAGTAAGTATTGATTTTGTTTTCATTTTCACCTTGAATCCAGGGTCAACAGAGGCTTTTAGTAAAAAAGTCGAAGTGATGGCATTTTAAGTATTTGCTAAAAGCTTTACGCTGTTTGTGGGTAGTTTGTAATTTTGAAATCTTGAAGCCCTTCTCAGTTCCCAGAACAAAGAAACAGCCTTTGAAAGTGCTAATGGTGCCCAGAGTCCCTTTATTAGAGTGAGATGGCTGGCATATAAATTTAATAAATACAGGTAGTCCTCCACTTACAACAGTTCATTTAGTAACCATTCTGAGGGGAAACACACCCCCTCCTAGAAGAATGAAATATTTTAGGAAATATTAAAAAGGCAGACTATTATATTTCCCTGGATGATAAAAGAAGAAACATGTTTTAAAGACAGAGAACAGCTCCTTGACCCCAGCAGATATTTCGTGTTTATTAAGAAAGACTGGGACAGCCCATCTACAGGACAAAAGACCTTCAGCTCCAGGGTGATGGGATTAAAACATGACCCTTCAGGACATAATAGGATTAAACCATCTAGCAGCAGAGCTCACCACATCGCACAATCACCTGGGGACGTTGCATCACCCATCAGACTTCAACCAAATCTTGGACTTAGACAACCTACAAAGTTAGCTATGGCCTCTATGTTGTGACCCAGGCCCAAGTAAATAGTAGGAAAATCAGTCAGTGAAAAAAAAAAACTTTATTCGAACAGCTGAGAATTACTTCATTCCCAGCGTCGTTCAACTAAATTAAAGCAAATTCCTCCCAACACAAATTCCTCAGTCCTATCGCAAACCTTGGTACAGTTAGACAAACTGCCAAAGGCCTTTCTTGGCAAACGTTCAGAAGTCACAGATACAAAAATAAATACAAGAGGTAGACGAAGAAGAAGATGAAGCTACCAACGTTTTCCGGCAAAGCCCAAACGCCGTTGCTGGTCTGTTTTAAGCCTTATGGGAAGGGCCAATCATCTCCTGGCCTTACTCCTGAGTCGTCCTCTTTGCTTGAGCTGCTCTTGCCTTCTGGCAGCTCATACGTGCACTAGGAACAGGCTCCTCCTGTTCCTCTGCCTCTCTACTGTCAGCCTCTGGAGGCTCTGGAGTCCGCGCCTCACTCCTCGATGGCCCTGGCCCCATCTCTGCCTCTGACACAGAGCCCTCATCCGGGCCTTCGCCAGCCTCCAGGACTGGTCCATGTTCTTCCTCAGCCACATCGCTGTCCAATTCCGCTGCCAGTTCCACAGGCTGCTGGCGGATCACAACACCCTACTGTTGGAAGAAATGTCCGTCTGGGTTCAATTCCAAGAGGGGAGAAAGACCCTGGAAACATGGAGGCTGGTTGAAAAGATGGTTTAATCGTGGATAGGGCTACATGGTTTGAGGTCCTGGGCAAAAAAGGCAAATGGGTGAGAGAGAGAGAGAGATTTATACCCTCTGTTGGGCTTTGAATTTGAGTTTGTATTCTGATTGGTTGTCAAGACTCCCATGGGGCCATGCAGGGGTAATTTTGTAGGTTGTCTTTTGAGTCCCAGGCTTGGTTGAGCCTTGCTGGGTGATGCAATCTCCTCAGGTGCCATGTGGTGAGTTCTGTTGCTAGATGGGTAGAGGGCTAATCCCATCTTTGTTGGATCTTGGGTGAGGGCATTTGCTTATGAATAGACCTAGCTATCTCTTTATCTCTTAAGTGCTGACATCTGCTGGGGGCTATTGAGGAGGGTGGGGGCTATTAAGAGTGAGTCTGCCTCCTGCCTAAAAACATGTCTCTCCATTTCTCATCCAGGGAGATATAACATTCTGCCTTTTTAATATTTCCTAGAATGTTTCATTCTTCTAGGAGAGGCCACACCAGAACAACTAGATACAAGGACAGTTTTTTCCCAAACACCATCACTCTGCTAAACAACTAATTCCCTCAACACTGTCAAACTATTCACTAAGTCTGCACTACTATTAATCTTCTCATCGTTCCCACCACCCATCTCCTCCCACTTAGGACTGTATGACTGTAACTGTGTTGCTCGTATCCCTACGATTTATATTGTTTCCTAGTATGATTTGATTGCTTATTTGTACCCTATGACCATCATTAAGTGTTGTACCTTATGATTCTTGACGAATGTATCTTGTCTTTTTATGTACACTGAGAGCGTATGCACCAAAGACAAATTCCTTGTGTCTCCAATCACTCTTGGCCAATAAAAAATTCTATTCTATTCTATTCTATTCTATTCTATTCTATTCTATTCTATTCTATTCCCTTTCTTATTCTATTCTATTCTATTCCCTTTCTTGTTCTGTTCTGTTGTTCTGTTCTGTTCTCTTTCCTATTCTATTCTATTCTATTCTGTTCTGTTCTATTCTATTCTATTCTATTCTATTCTATTCTATTCTATTCTATTCTATTCTATTCTATTCTATTCCCTTTCTTATTCTGTTCTGTTCTGTTCTGTTCTATTCTATTCTATTCCCTTTCTTATTCTATTCTATTCTCTTTCCTATTCTATTCTATTCCCTTTCTTATTCTATTCTATTCTATTCTATTCTTTCCTATTCTATTCTATTCCCTTTCTTATTCTATTCTATTCTATTCTCTTTCCTATTCTATTCTATTCCCTTTCTTATTCTATTCTATTCTCTTTCCTATTCTATTCTATTCTATTCTATTCTATTCTATTCTATTCTTTTCTTTCCTATTCTATTCTATTCTTTCTTATTCTATTCTTTTATTCTCTTTCCTGTTCTATTCTATTCCCTTTCTTATTCTATTCTATTCTATTCTATTCTATTCTATTCTATTCTATTCTATTCTATTCTATTCTATTCTATTCTATTCTATTCTATTCTATTCTATCTGTAGTTTGCAGGAAAAATTCATCTGTATTTAACAAGTTTTTCTCCTTGTCCAATTAGAAATATATATAAAAGATAAAAGATACATATCCTGGGGAAGAAGGGGGAGGGTGTCACTCAGGAGCATGTTCTATAGACTTAACCCCCCCCTCCAAACACCTGTTTCCAGGATTCGGAGCTGAAAAAGAGGATAAAAGGTTTGGGTTTCCCTTAGTCCACCCGAGACTGCTGCACCCTTTCAGTAGCGATCCAGACTTTTAAGGACCAGCCATCATCCCTTTCTCCAAGCAGGTGCCCTCCTGTAAAGGATGGGAAGAAAGATGTTGCTGTGGCCTGCGGATGATGGGAATCGGAGTCCCCCAGCGGCCCATCGGGGTGTGTGCGTGATTTTGTGTGTGTGTGCTGAGCTTGTCTTTGCTTGCTGCTGGAGGAGAAAGAGCGGAGTTGCACGTCCCCGCCCCGCTTGGAAAGAGAGGGGTGGGTTGTCCCTCTTTGCAGTGTCCGTGGGGAGGGGGATTGCACGCCCCCCCTCCCGGCTTGCAAAGGGGAGAGTCTCTCTTTTTGAGTCCGAGGAGGAGGGGAAGGGGATTGCACGTCCTTAGTACAGGGGAATCTCCCTTTTTCAGAGTCCGGGAGAACAGAGGGAAGAAGGAGGGGGGTAGTTGCACGCTCCCTCCCCTCTTGGAAAGGGGGAGCCTCACTTTTTTTGCAGAATCCGGGAGGAGAGGAGGGGGGATTGCACGCCCCTTTCCCCCCCTCCCTTGGAAAGGGGGGGTTTCCCTTTTTTTTCAGAGTCCAGAAGGAGGAGCGAGTTATACATCCTTTGCCCCGCTTGGAAAAGGTTTTCCCCCCCCCCTTCTTTTCTCGTTTTGCAGAATCCGGGAGGGGGATTTGCACACACGCCCCCTCCCCTCACCCCTTGGTAAAGGAGGGAAGTGGGTCTCCCTTTTTGCATTGTCCGGGGAGGGGAGAGAGAGAGAGGAGGAGGAGGGGGGTATTACACGCCCCCTTTCCCCCCTCCCTTGGAAAGGGGGTTCCCCTTTTTTGAGAGTCTAGGAGAGGGGGGATTACACGGCCCCTTCCCCCCCGTTGGAAAGGGGGTTTCCCTTTTTTTCCGACTCCAGGAGGAGAGAGGGAAGAGGGAGTGGGAAGTTACACATCCTTTGCCCGCTTGGAAAGGTTTTTTTTTTTTTCCTTTTTCTTCTTTTTGCAGAATCCGGGAGGAGAGAAGGGGAGGGGGATTTGCACGCACGCACGCACGCCCCCTCCCCTCCCTTCTCCCCCTCGGTAAAGGAGGAGAGAGGGGGCCCTGCTCTCCCCGCATTTTTTTGCAGAATCTAGGGAGGAAGGGGGGGGATTGCGCGTCCCCTCCTCCCCCTTTGGAAAGGGAAGTGTGTGTGGGGGGGTCTCTCTCCCTTTTCGCAGTGTCCTGGAAGAGAGGAGGGAGGGGAATCATTGCACGCCCCTTGGTACAAGAGAGAAGGGGGTCTCTCTCTCTCTCTCTCTCTCTCTCTTTTTTTTTTTTTGCAGAATCCGGGGAGAGAGGGAGGAAAAAAAGAGGAGGGGGGTTGCACGCCCCCTCCTCCCCCGCTTGGAAAGGGAAGGAAAAGAAGGAAGGGAGAGAGAGAGAGAGAGGAGGAGGAGGAGAGGAGGAAAGCCTACCCCCCCTCCCCGGGGGGGAAAAGCAAGCCGGGCGCGTGCACGCGCGCTTCCTCTCCCTCCCTAGCGGGGACGCGCGCGCGTGCGGAGGAGGAGGAGGAGGAGGCGGGGCGCGGGGATTCCGGCCGGCCGGCGGGTCGGGGGCGCGCGGCGCGCTCGCTGGCTGCCTGGCTGGCTGGCTGGCGCTGGGCTCGGGCTGTGGGTCGGTGGCTGCCGGCCGGGCGTGCTTCCCGTGCGAGCGGAGGAGAGCGATGGCCGCGGGCGGCCCCTGCAGCATCGCGGAGGAGCGGACCTACCGCCGCTTCTTGGAGGCTTTCCTGGGCGAGTTCCGCGGACCTTTCGAAGCGGCGGCCGAGAGCCCGGCGCCCGCCTCGCCCTCCTCCGCCTCTTCCTCCGCCGCCTCCTCCTCCTCCGCGGGCGGCGGCGGGGAAGGAGCGGCGGCTGGAGCCGGGGAAGAAGACCCGCCGCCTGGCGGGGACGGAGAAGCCACCGCGGGCGGGGAAGAAGCCGAAGCCGAAGCGGAGGAAGAGGAGGAGGAGGAGAAAGAGGAAGAAAATGAGGATGGAGGAGACGAGGAGGAGGAGGAGGAGGATGCAGCCACTGCTGGACCAGAGGAGGATGGAGACGAGGAGGAGGAGGAGGGGGAGGAAGGCTCCGGACCGGACGGAGCCAGCCCTCCCGGGGACGCCGAGCCCGACGAGGCTCCTCCGGGAGAGCCCGCGCCGCCTCCTCCTCCGCCGCCTCGCCCGGCCAGCCCTTGCCCGCCGGTGCCGCTGCCTCCGCTGCCCTCGCTGCCCCGGCCGCTCTCCGAGCACATCACGGAGGAGGAGGTGGAAGGCGAGTGCCTGGACCTCTGCCTGCAGCAGCTCTACAAGTAGTGAGTGCCGGGGATGATGGGTTGTAGTGTGTGTATGTGGGGGGGGGGGACGGACAGAGCCGGGATTCCAGCTCCCATGCGCCGCTGCTGCTGGCGGGGTGGGGAAGGGCTTCCCAGGGCGCCGCGGATGATGGGGGTGGGAGGAAGCCCGCTAGGTCTCCGGGAAATTAAGGTTGGTTAGGTTGGTGGGGGGGGAGGGCGGTTGGACTCCAGTTCCCATGGTCCACAGGAGAGGGCTGTATCCCCATGACTGAGGAGAGGTGGTTTGGGAGGGTGTGGGGACTACACTATCCATACGCCTGGCTTGACTCAGGAGCGGTTGTTTGAGAGGGTGGGGGGGAATACACTATCCATACTCCCCTGTCTTGGACCTCTAGTTCCTTTTATGCGTGGGGAAAGGATGGGAGACTACATCCCCCATAGTCCCCCCATTTGGGATCTCTAGCCCTGCATATGGAGAGAGGGGGAGGGAATACATCACCCATACTCCCCAATTTGGCCCTGCACATGGGGAAAAGGTGGGAGACTACATCATCCATACTCCCCAATTTGGGATCTCTAGCCCTGCATATGGGGGAGGGGGGGAACTACATCATCCATACTCCCCCATCTCTAGCCCTCCCTGTATCGGCTAGAGGTGAGGACTCCACCTCCCATGCTCCATTGCTTGGGAGACCCATCCCACAGTTGGAGGAGAGGGTTCCCAGCAGGTTACAGAGACTACACTACCCATACACTCCCTGTCTCACTCAGGAGGTCTAGCTCAGTCTGGAGAGGCTGCTTGCGAGAGCGTTGGACTCCAAAAGCCATCCTCCACTGTTTCAGAATCACAGCCCAGGAAAGGAGAAAGGAGAGAGTTCCCCGCGGGATCTATGGACTACAATATCCATAACACACACACACACCCTATCTCTCTCAGGAGGTCCAGCCCTATCTGGAGAGGCTGCCTTGCAGCTGGGTGGACTCCATCTCCCATTCTCCCCTACCCTCTCGAGAGGGATACATACCGGCCCCCTCCCCTTGTAAAAGCCAGATTGATTTCTGCAAAGATAGAAAATACTTGGGGATAAAACCTGCATTCTTACACAGATCTTCATCGCGATCACGTTTCGTGGTTTGATCGCGTTCTTCCTTCTGTCTCGGAGATCAAAAGGGTTCCAAAACCTTAAAAAAAAAATTTTGGGGGAAAAAAAAAGGGGTTCCAAAACCCTCAATTTTTCCCTCTTGCCCTACTCCCCAATAGAAAACATGGAGAGCCCCCCCCTCCCAAATGTCTGAATGGGACATTCATGTATTTTATTCCGGTGGGGGGCGGGCAGTCAATTTCGGCTGACCATTAGGCTGACCGGCACTAAAGAACCAAGCAGGCACCCTGCCAAAAAAAAAAAAAAAAAGGGAATACGCTAGGGTCTGTGGATGATGGGAATCAGAGTCCCCATGCCACATTTTCAGATCTGGGGGGGGGGGCTTGAGAAAAAAGTGAGGTGCTTTTCTGCCTGTACCCAGCGTGGATCCATTTACCTCATGCCCACTTGGCATGAGAAAGCTGAGCTGTCAGGTCACCTTTGGGTCACCACCGACAAAATTGTGTGGGAGTGGGGTGAGGGGGGGTGAGGTACCCCCTTTTCTATGCCCCCACCACACCCTGGCCTTGACCCCATGGAAATCTAGTCCTTGGAGCCCAATATTCTTCCCTGAATACATGAATTGAAACAATAGAGGCATATTGTGTACCTGTGTATAAATGTGTATATAGTCTCTCTGTGTGTGTGTGTGTGTGTGTGTGTGTGTGTGTGTGTGTGTGTGCTTACTTTTTTCTTCCTTTTCGTAGGTTTTATGTGTGTTTTTCTTTTAGCCAGGTTTCTCCTACGCAACCAAGATTTACCTGGCTAAAAGAAAAACATATATATGTATGTATGTATGTATGTATGTATGTATGTATGTATGTATTTATGTATGTTTGGTTTGTCATGAATGTGACTGCTTGAGGGCTCCTGGATTGGAGCTGAAAGGTGAAAGGGAAGCAGTAGGCTCCCTCCCACATGTTGGGGTAGACCAGGTGCTTCGATAGAAAAATACTTCATGTATGTATGTATGTATGTATGTATTTTTCTTCAACCAGGTATTTTCCTACGTAAACCAAGTTTCTCAGTGAAATCACATCCACTATCCTAGGCTTCTTCAAACAGCAAGCATGCATTTTGCTGCCTATTGGGAGATTAATATAGATCTATTTCGGACTGATATATATATATATATTTGTCTTCTTTCTATATATATATGCAGTTTGTGTATGTGTAATATATATATTTTAACTCAAGAGTATCCCTGAGCGCATATATGTGTGTGTGTGCGTGTGTGTGTGTGTGTGTGTGTGTGTGAGTGTTTTTTTCTTCTAGCCAGAAAGTAAGAAATATATATATATATATATATATATATATATATATATATGCACAGTGTGTGTGTATATGCGCTCAGGAATACTCTTGAGTTAAAAGCTGTCCTTTTAGCTTATTGCTAGATAATTCTGCATGTGCATATTTTCATGTATAATATATGCATATATATGTGTGTGTGTGTGTGTGTGTGTGTGTGTGTGTGTGTGTGTGGTACATGAAAATATGGACATGCAGATAATTGCTAGGTAATTCTGTGTGGGCATATTTTCATGTACAATATATATGCATATATATATACACGTGTGTGTATGTGCATACACACACACACACACACACATATATATAATGAAAATATGCCCACACAGAATTATCTAGCAATAAGTAAAGCTCAAAGGACAGCTTTAGCCCCTTCAGAAATCAAGAGTACCCCTGAGCATTTGCAAAGTGTAATCTGCCTCCTCCAGTCCTCTGCTAAAAAAAACAAAACCTCTTTGACTACGCAAGGGGAAATTGTTTTGACTGTGTACAGAAAATCCTTCGGCACATTTTTAAAATTTTCAGCTCCCGCTTGTCACCGCTGGGTTTTTTTTTTTTTTTCACTTCTGCATTTTCACCTGCATATACTGTATAAATCTCCGGTTTGGAGTGGATTTGCATCCTCCCTTTATTGCTGTTTATATCTGATTTTCTTCGGTCTATTTTTACTGTGGGGCATCACACACACACAAACACAGTGATGGAAGCAAATTAATCGATGTTGCCTGCGGGAGGAAAGGCTTCCCAGCTAGTTTTAAAGAGACTTTTTTCCCCTGCTGTTACTTGTTTTGGAATTGAGTCTGATGTTAATAGGAAAGGATGGCTGGATGTCAGCAATTCTAATCTGGTTACCAAAGCACATTGCATTTTATGCTTAAAAAAAAAAGAAGAAAAGATTCCAGAAGCCCTGGAGTTCCCACGTATTGCTATATATATATATATATTAAAAGGTTCTTATCTATAGTATTATCTCTGTAGATAATCCTGAGAGGAAAAGAATCAGGGCTGGAATTTGGTAATCTCTAGTAAGATCCCCCCCCCCTCCATTCTACATGCCGGAAGGTGAAAGGATGCTTGCAAAATAAATAAATAGATTAAATACCCCTGTTTACAAGGAAGGGGGAGGTTAGATTTCAGGAAAAGGTTTAGGGAATATGGGGTGGGGGGTGGGGAATGGGGGCTGGGGGCAAAGCAGGAAATTCGCTCCCGGGGTTGAAATAGATGAATGGCTGGCAAAATAGGCATAAAACCAATTTTAAAAACATTCAAAATATAGATATTAAAAAGAGGTACATTTTTTTTTTAAATGCATAAAAGCTTAGATTGACATGGAGAGCTGCCTAACCGATTATATATTCGTTGCAGATTTGCAAAGATTTGGTTTTGTGCGAACAGTGTCTTTTGTAAACCGGGGTCGATGCCTAAGTTTATTTTATTTCTTTTAATTCCACCGATTTATGCTGCTGCCCAACTCAGGCACACAGGTGGTTTAATAACGACTGGAACGTGGGTACAAAATAAACCCCGATGGCTTTATTTCATCCCAGGAAACGGGAACTAATAAAATCTTTCCCCTGATCTATCTAACCGGTGTATTTCTGCTCTTCCTTTGGGATCGGAGCTCAACTTTCCAACGTGGCTGGGGGATTAATCCCAATTTCCTAATTTCAGTTTTGCTATGCTCTGAAAACGGGTGGGAAGGAAAGCTGGCTTTAAAATGATGCTAAAATTTCCCAGCAAGGTGGGAAAAATCTGAATTAGGTTGGGCTGGGGTGGGGGGTAGAGGGGGGATCTTAACTGAGTTAATTTGACAGTGAGCAATTTGAGAGGGGCAGGTGGGGGCACCCCATTTGGGGGGAACCGAACAGGGCCCTTCTCGTTTTTCTCCCGGACTGACGGATATCTGATCAGCCTTTTAACTAGCGACAAGAAATGAGGATTCAAACCAGATGAATCAGGCAGGCCGGTTGTCGAAACGGACGGACGTGCGGCTGAACTAGAATTCCCAACTCCCAGGAGAGGTTCTCCTAAACCCTGCAAAGAGTGGGGAGGAAGGAATTTTTGCTCCACGTTGCAGCTGAGTATAACTGAGTGTAACCGGGTGCCTAAAATTGGCCTTAAAAAAAATTGAATTGAGGATTTGAAGCAACTGGGAAGGAGACAGACAGACGGGTGTTTTCCTTAGTGGCTAAACTTACAGACCTTACCCCAAATTGGTCACAGGTGCTTTGTTTCCATCCTGGCTTGGCTGGCTGTGCAACATGGTTGGGGAGGTATTTTTTTCCCCTCCTTCTTTAAGGCTGATCAGAGATATTTAAGGCTGTTCACAGCAGGTTGGAAAAAAACCTGAAGTGACCACTGTCATGAAAGATGCCAGGAGTAAAATAAGGTTTTTTCGGTTGGGGGAGCGAGGGCTGTCCGTTTCTGCTGTGATTTTCTCCTTTGATTCAGGCGGAGGAGCCCGGATTTAGAAATAATATTTTTTTTAACCGTCTCGTATTGGCATTTCGGGGGTCTAGCAAAACGGGTTCTGGATCAGCTCTTTTGCCGCGTCCTGCTTCTCAA